AAGGTGTAACACTTCTTGCTCACTTTGCTGCAAACGAGCCTCCAATACAACTGCCTCAGTAGCTTTGACTTCCTGTTCTGAGAGGCGAGCGACAGTTTGCTCCTGCTCGGCCAAAAGCTGATCCCGTGCGGAGGTAAGTTCTTCCTTTTCCTGGATCAAACTTTAGAGCCTTTGGAAGCAAGAAAGTTAGCCTACAAAGCAAGAAAGGCATACTCAGGATATTTTTAGGCAAAATAGAGGAAATAACAAAGGAAGTTAAAGAAAGGTTGAAGAACAATAAAGAAGGTTTTAGAAAGTTTGAAGAGTTATGGGATATGAGTGAAGAAGATTGATGCGTATAAGTAAAGGTTTAGGCGGCTTAATTTGTGGCCATGATTACCTCGATAACTGGCAAAAGCTATGTTTAATCGTGGGATGATGCAGGTTCGGGGAATTAAATGCGGAGAGACATGCGTCTAATCAACTATCAGAAGCTTTTTCAAAAGGAATCATAGTAGTTCCCGCGAAAAAGAGTGTTTCTACCAACTTTCCGGTGATACAGAGTTATGTCACCAGAAAGCATGAGGACTATCTGTATACGGTAAAATATACTATGCTAAGTAGCCTCTTAAGAGAGTGGCACGTGGAACTTATGGCGGGGGACAGTTAGAACCAAAGGCAATTATCCCATTTGTCATCGGAAAGAATGACACCCGTAAAGATGCAACAAATACCTTTCGACCGGTATCATCTAATGAAGAATATTTCACAACATTTAGTGCACTGCCCGTTACAGAGAATTTGTCATTTATGCTCATCATCACACCCTCATCAATGACCCTCATAATTGATATTAAAGAAGGGCACGATCCTAGGACCTTGTTCCCTAGTCGTAGCTATAAATAGTAAGCTCTATTATCATTGTAAATGACACAACTTTTCTAGCAAACTGACGTTATTATCGATTAAAAGCTTTATACAATTTTACTTTCTTGTTCCTTGGTTTCATCACTGTTGTGCCCGGAAGCTCTGCCCTTGAATTATTGTTTTTCGTAATTTCATCTTCATTTCAAGGCTAAATATTACATATTTCTTTAATTATTTTATTATTTCAGGATCAAATTAATTCACTTGTCTAGAAAATACGTATAAATTCAATTGTACCATTTTACGGGTAAACACTCAGGACAATTAGATGGCTGTTAGATTTATATGGGCTTCTGTTACTCCTTTCTTAAGTCAAAAGAAACCTGATCATTCTTGAGCTTTCTCCATGCGCTCTTTCTTCCCAATGTTTTGGGATGGGTTCATTATCTGTGTCTTTGTTATAGTTAATGTATGCATGAGGGGTATTTGTTTGGAATGAAGTGGCAGTGGTTTGTTCATTTTGAGATATCCAATTTGGTGTTTATCATGTTTAAATTGAAAGCATCATTACCTAACCAGAAAATTTAATTTGTAAAGACATGAATCGTCCTAAGATTAGTTCTGTGTCAGCATTGCTAAATAGCATTGTTCCTTAGGCTTGAGCAGCTCCACAACATGTCTTCTTTTTTCGGTATACTGATTTTGCCTTTCAAAGAGAGGAGGGAATTACCAGTAGTGTACTTAATAGTATTAAATATCTACGCTCTATCTATGAGTAGAAATGCATTCAAAATCTTGAATCATTACATGGGTGCAGCCTAGTGATAGTATATCTTGCTGCTGTTAGGACTTAGGGGATCCCAAAGATATTTGTACACTACTTAATCTTTTTCTACAGAAGATACACACAGAAGTAACTTAAGTGTAGTGATACAACATTAAGTTGGAAAATAATTTCGAAAATTTCTTTCTTCGGATCTTCAGGGTGTTACTCCAACACACGAATGCCCGCATATGGTGCTCCTGCTTCTTACTTGGGGCTGAAAGCCTGTAGGAAAAAACAGAAATAGTGTCAGTTACTCAAATTGGTGTTGGAAATTGTATTTTCAGTTTCATTCTGCATAAGCAGTGATAGAGAATAACCTCAAGATCTTGACTTTTCTAAATGTATATGCACTCTATTACTTGTGTGGGAGTAGTTTAATCCTAATGTTGTGTGCTTAAAAGCATGAACACAATTAAGTTGTGCTTGCTCCTACTAATGTTAATCCAGTCCTCTATGTGCTTCAGAGAGAATGTTAGTCAGTCCTTTTTCTCATAAATTCTGCAAATTCTAACATGGACAACAAAATAGATTTCAGGTTGTATATTGAGTTAAAAGAAAAGTCGTGCTTACAGCAAAAATAGTGACGTGACCAGGATCAGCAAGGTGAGCGAAAAGGTTGTCAATTGGTCATGTTCTAGTGTAGACCCACCTTGCCGCGAATAACCTCATTTCTGATCCTATTTAACTTGGTGTGTCCGCACATCCATATCAACATCCCCATCTTTGCTACTTTCATCTTCTGTACATGAACAATCTTGATTGGCCAACACTCAATCCCATACAACATTGTTGGTCTGACCACCACTCTGTAGAACTTACCCTTAAGTTTCAGTGGCAGCTTCTTGTCACACAAAACACCAGAAGCGAGACTTCATTTCATCCATCCCGCCCCAATACGATGTGTGACGTCTTCATCAATCTCCGCATCTCCCTGAATAATAGACCCAAGATACTTAAAACTCCCTTTCCTAGGAATGACCTGCGAGTCCAGCCTTATTTCCCCTTCCCCTCCTTGAATCTCGCCACTGAACTTACACTCCAAGTATTCTGTCTTGGTTCTGCTCAACTTGAAACCTTTAGATTCCAGGGTCTGTCTCCATGCCTCTAATTGCGCGTTCACATCGTCTCGCGTCTCGTCAATCAATATAATATCATCTACAAATAGCATGCATCACGACACCTCCCCTTGGATGTGGTACGTCAGTACGTCTATCACTAGAGCAAGCAAAAAAGGGCTGAGTGCTGACCCCTGATACAACCCCATCATAACCGAAAATTGATCGGAGTCCCCACCCACAATCCTCACTCAGGTCTTTACTCCATCATACATGTCCTTAATCAACCTACCGTAGGCAACATGTACACCTCTAGCCTCCAAACATCTCCACAAAACCTCCCTCGGAACTTTATCGTACGCCTATTCTAAGTAAATAAACACTATATGCAAGTCTTTCTTTCTCTCTATATTGCTCCAGTTATGCCCATCCCAATTTGTTGACACTCTCTATTGTAAATGTCAGTTTGATAAAATTTTGGAGCAAAATAAGACTAGATTAACTAGTTTAAATTATATAATATAGGTATCTAGAAATTTCGCTAGAAGTACGCAGTATTCAGATTCATCGACCACCTCTCTCCACCCCCAACCCACATTATGAACAGCCACTCAGAAAATGATTTGTAAATTTTTTAGTATTTCTTTTTCTTTTTCCTTTATGAGAGCGGTTGGGGTGAGCAATTTGATTTGGTTCTCAAGAAACGTCTTTATAAGAGAATAGAAGCGAAAGTTGAATATTTATGTAGTACTTAAATTAAATTTAACTACGATGTAATATTTATTTAATTATTTTTTATTAATGATTTCACTTTTATTGATTTATCCTTTAAAATAATTTTGTAATAAATGATTATATAAGTGGTGAATGTGAATTATATATGATGAATATGGAAAAAAGAAAAAAATAGAATTTGTTTGAAGGAAATGAAAAATAAAATTTAAATAGAAGATAATAATATAATATAAAAAAGAGAAGAATATAAAAAAAAATATTTTTTTGGTGTAAAAAGATAATGTAATAGTTGGAGTAAATTTAGTATTATACCGTTTTGACGTGAAATTTAGTGTTAGGGTCGGAGATGATCTTATATAATCTAACACTTGTTTAGTATATGTACATAGTTTAAGTTACACCGGCAAAAAAAATATGAATGATATCTAGCTTTTAAGGGGTGGTTAGGAATCGAGATCTTATCGAAGCATCTATCGTTCCTCTCTTACCAAATGCACCAGAAAAACCATTTGCCAGATACTTTTGATGGATTTTCCAACTCGCCATAGTCCCCAGCTAGAGTAGGCATCTTTAACGTTGAAGGGCATACGCAGTATCTCCTAAAAATGCACAAAAACATATCCCAAATGTCTCTTTGCAGCTTTACAATGGAGAAGGAAATGGCCGACACTTTCAGGTTCTCTTATGACTTTAAAAGGCTCTCTTGAGTCCAAGCTGCTTGCAAGTTCTTATTCCTTTCATTTGTAAATACTTTTATTTTAGTAGTATAAATAAAATTAGCTACTAACCAATCAGCTTAGCAGACTTTATCAAAAACAAGAAACTATAACTTTTTTTCTTCAATTTTGTTTAATTAATTGAAAGCGTCATTTGATTGCTAAAAAGGTATGATATTTAATGTGGAAAGTCTCTAATTTTGTACCCAGAATCGTTGATGAAACTATTATATACAGTCGACATGTCAAATTTTAATCTTGAAGATGGCTGAATTTGTCATTTGTTGTTGCTGATGTTATTTTGTTATTATTAATACTGGAAGCAGCAATAGTATAGAATAGAAGGTGTTTTGTTATTTTCAAGATGCATATGTTTCGAGTGATTTTGTGCGGACAGATAAGATGTATTACATGTATGTTCCACACAGACATATTAGAAACTCAACCGGGCTATGGTTCCCAGGACAATTAGATGGTTGTTAGATTTATATGGGCTTTCTACATGCCAACAAATTTGGTTTGGGATGTGTTCACTACCTGTGACTTTGTTATAGTTAATGTAAGCATGGGGTATTTGTTTGGAATGACATGGCAGTGGTCTGTTCGTTCTGAGAAATCCAGTTTGGTGTTTATCATGTTCAAATTGCAAGCATCATTACCTAACCAGAAAATTTTGTGAAGACATGAAATGTCCTAAGATTAGTTCTGTGTCAGCATTGCTAAATAGCTTTGTTCCTTAGGCTTGAGCAGCTCCGCAACATGTCTTCTTTTTTCGATATCCTGTTTTTGCCTTTCAAAGAGAGGAGGAAATTACCAGTTGTGTACTCAATATTAAATATCTACTCTTTATCTATGAGTAGAAATGCATTCAAAATCTTGAATCATTACATGGGTGCAGCCTAGTGATAGTATATCTTGCTGCTGTTAGGACTTAGGAGATCCCAAAGATATTTGTACACTGCTTAATTTTTTTCTACAGAAGATACACACAGAAGTAACTTAAGTGTAGTGATACAACATTAAGTTGGAAAACAATTTCTAAAATTTCTTTCTTCAGATCTTCAGAGTGTCACTCCAACACATCAATGCCAACAAATGGTGCTCCTGCTTCTTACTTGGGGCTGAAAGCCTGTAGGACAAAACAGAAATAGCGTCAGTTACTCAAATTGGTGTTGGAAATTCTATTTTCAGTTTCATTCTGCATAAGCAGTGATAGAAAATAACCTCAAGATCTTGACTTTTCTAAATGTATATGCACTCTATTACTTGTGTGGTAGTAGTTTAATCCTAATATTGTGTGCTTAAAAGCATGAACACAGTTAAGTTGTGCTTGCTCCTACTAATGTTAATCCAGTCCTCTATGTGCTTCAGAGAGAATGTTAGTCAGTCCTTTTTCTCATAAATTCTGCAAATTTTAACATGGGACAACAAAATAGGTTTCAGGTTGTATGTTGCTAGAGTTGAAAGAAAAGTCGTGCTTACAGCAAAAATAGTGGCGTGACCAGGATCAGCAAGGTGAGCGAAAAGGTTGTCAATTGGTCCTGTTCCAGTGTAGATGTGTTGGAACCATGCACCCATGACAGCCAACATGGCCAGCCTCCCGTTCTTGATCTCCTTTGTCCTCAACTCTTTGATCTTTTCAGGAGAACCAGATCCCCAACCTAAAGGATCAAACCATAGGCCTCCTGGATATCCGACATCTGTGCCCGTGAGCTTGTTGTTAGGGAAGATGGGGTCTGTGTTTACGCACCCAGGCTTGATGATATCTGCCCACCTTCTTCCCTCAGCCCAGCCAATAAGCACCAACTCAATNCTATTTGAGTATAACACAGTGTAAAACAATATCAAGTCATTTGAAAGATAGTTACAGGTAACTATCATAGAGAAGCAACTACCAAGATTAAGATTTTGGCTTACCAAGGCCAAGAGGGTCGAAACCAAAGTCCCCGGGGAGACTGCATAGCAAAAATTAAGTTTCAAATTAGCTCCGACCACCAGAACAATGAATGGAAGTGGAGTCATACCTGCCATCGAGCCATGGAGGAGGGGTACTGCCAGGGAACCAGAGGGGTCTATCAGGGTCAGCAGCAACAGCAGAGACAGCAACCGATCTTGATCCAGCTGGTGCGACGTGTTTGCTTACTCTCAATCTTTTCCCTCCAAGGAAAGAAGCCTTTGTTGCTCCTACAATTGATCCATTTTTCTGGGAACTGCAGATTCATGATTCAAACAAAGAATCGTTAATGCACTTCAAAAAAATCTTTCTACATTTCATATTGAACATATCTGATCACTAGACAGGACAATTTTTGTGTTGTTTAAACTAGGCTTACCTTGGAGAAGAGAATGCAACAGCTGCAATGGCTGATGAAGCACAGGCAGAGGCCATGTTGGGGGATTTTTTTTTCTTGAATGCAGTGAATAATTGGTGGTGTGTATGAAGAAGCTGATATTGTATGAAGAAGAATAGGCTTATCTTGATGGATAAAGGGTGAATCTCTGATTGGCTGCTTGAATTGACATGTGGCAACGACAATCTAATATCTGCCTCCTCTGCCTTCACTTCCTTCAGTTAACCTGGAATAATCTAAATCTGGTGGTTCATATTCTTTGTTCAAATGGCCTCATATGCTTTACTGTCCCTTTCTGTGCTATGTAAGTTGAGATCTTCATGGGGGCATTTATGACAATTCACCTACATGGTTTCCTGATACAACAATTTTTTCGTTTAACTTTAATTTTTTAAATTTTGGGGTGACACTGGACCCATAAGTAGCCTGGAACAGGAGGAAGAGAGTGGGATGTTTAAGATGCCTGTTAGTGATGCGAGGTGAATTTTCAATCATAACATTGCAATTTTGATACTTTATTTATTTTTTTTAACAGCAATTTCCTATAACTCATTTCATTTGATTAATTTTACTGTGTAATTTCTTGATGTGGATATTACTCTTCGAATGTTCAAATTTTGCTCAAGTAATAAATTACAAGTGTGTTTAACATTTCCATATTCATGAAATGGGAATAAGTTGACCAAGAAGAGGAGAAAGCTATTACTATGTTTTATCTTTGTTCTTTACCCTAAAAATTGGATAACAATTTTATAATGTGGTGTTAAGGATATGTAATTTCACCTAATAAACATAAAGATAAGTGATGCAAATTGACAATAATATAAAGTAAGCCAGCGTTTGGATAGAGCCCTTGTTACAACTCATGTTTTTGTACGTGAAAGTACGTCGTAAGTCCATTGATGCAAGCTCGGAAATGAGATCCTCTTGGAAAGTATATAAAGTGATTTTACGTCCCATATTTTTATTTTTTTTTGCAAGCCTTTGGGAGTTAATATTCAAGGATAAATGTTTATAAGGGTACATGTGGTTACACACCGTACTTCAGACGTTACTATCATTATAGGATTATCTAATGTAAACTCAAAAAGGATGAAATCTTTCTACAAGGATAAGAAAGGTTTGCCGAAGTGTTAAGTAAGTTAAGATGAATATGAGACTTGTTAACCATGATTTAAATGAGTTTAAAGTCATGATATGACTGTATATGATGTTTGTATATGAAGTATAAAGTTTGAGAAAAATCGGATCTATGTTGTGGAAAAACAGACCAAGGATTTACTTTGTAACTGAGTTTTTTGAGAAATATATTTTGTGTGCTATATGATATTTCTTTTGGACATACTATATACCAAATTGAAGGTCTTTAAATGTAGTTTCCAACGCTCTTAACAGTTCGTTCATACGACATCCGGATAAAAAGATATAAGCATTTGAAAAAGGGCCAATGAGAGAGTGGCACGTGGCATCTTTTTGACTTTTAGAAAATGGGATGTTTATCTCTCTGTATCGTCTCTTACTTTAGTTTTCCAGAGAGCTCGACCATATAACACCCCTAAACTCACCATCAAGTCCTCCATAAGAATTTTCAACGATACTATTATCCGCGGCACGAAATCAAGTAGCGATAACATCAAAATGATCCTTGCGACGTAAATATCGCCATATCACTTTTTTTTTCTTTATACTTTGAGTTTAGAAGGTATTTTGAAGTTAATAGAAATGCCTAATTTCTGGTTTTAAGATCTTAAATATCAAGGAAGGATGATTAATTCATTTCATAATAGTTAGAACTCACGGGACGGTGATCGGAAGCCGTGAGTTCGAGTTATTTGATTTGTAATGGACTGTTTTGTGGGCTGTTTTGTGTAGATTTGGGCTGTATATTTTGCTGATATTTGATGGAGTTTTTGGAGGAGAAATGGTGTGGAGGAAAACCACATAATGATTAAATGATGGATTAGTCATTCTTTGTAATATTTTCGGGGTGTTTGACACTACTATAATCATCGTTTTGGGTATGAATCGATTGGGGTGTGTTGGGCTGTTGTAAGCTAAATATAACATGAATTTTGACTTTCATCTACTGTAGGAGGTAATTATATTGTGTTCCTACAGGTGCTTAAGGTTATATTGACATCGGTTGAGTTAAATGGATGAACTAGACATGAACTAGTGAATAAAGTTGCTAATTGAGAATAATTGGAGTTGTGGATCGTTTTCTTTGTTATGGATATATGGTATGAGGTTGGAATTATTGATGAATGACTTCATTATCATATTAATGATACTATTAAGTTAAAGTAAAAAGTCTATAAGGGGTGATATGGGATATACGAATTCCAATTGGAGCTTGCCGTTCGTCGTAAAATAGTTATGACTTGTTGTTGTTTTATGGTGTCTTGTTATTGATAATTATGTATTGCTGTATTTCTCTAGTAATTGTTGTTGGTATATGGTATTGGAGTAGGCTCTTGTTACAGGGGAGATGCTGCCCGAATTTATATAAACGAGCTACAAGTTTATGTTGCAGACTTAACCTTTATTCAGTATTGATTTTGAATCTCCTTATGCAATGGTAGATTGAATTGAGTTGTTTAAAGAGTTGCTTGGGAGGTATTAAGGACTCAACGTGGTTAAGGTATGTTAAGGCACTTCTTTTTTTTGGCATGATCTAACATGACATGAACATAAACGTTACGCTAATTCATAACGGATGTACTCCTAGGAACTAAGGTTGTCCACATTGTTCTTTCCTTATAAAGTTATTCTAAAAAAGTGTGTATGATCCTTGAATCCTACTAAGGTTCATATTGAGGGTATGGATGTCCATAATGTTAATCGAAGGTGCAACGACCTTAAGTCACTCCGAAAGGTTTGGAATATGATTTCATGAGTCTAGCATGCATTATATATAGTATCTATTTTACTCTATCGAGTCGCGCTATAGTCAGCCGGGTACGACACCTATTGTGCAACCACTGATCAGTTGGATTTACCGAGCTCCACGTGGCCGGGTACGATTCTACCGAGCCTTATGATGGCCGGGTACATTTTTATCGAGTCCTCTTTGAGGTCGGGTACGATATGATGATGATGATGCCCACATAGGCGTATGTTTTTAAAAGTTTATATATATATATATGTATTATGCATTTCATGTCAGTATCCCCCAGAGACACTCAGATGTTACAGGTTGTATCTACTCTATCTCTTTTTACATTAATGTTCTTTTTTATGCTTTCCTGCCTTACATACTCGGTACTTTATTTGTATTGATGTCCCTTTTGCCTGGAGATGCTGCGTTTCATGCCCGCAGGTCCCGATTGATAGGTTGACAGTCTTCCTATTAGGCTATCAGCTCAACGGAGGTGTTGGTGCACTCCACTTGCTCCGGAGTTGCCTATTTGGTCAGTATGATTTGGAATATATTGATTGGTATGGCGGACCCTATCTCGACCTTTATGATTTATGTACTCTTAGAGGCTTGTAGACAGATGTCATGTATATGAAAATTGTATGGCCCTATCAGCCTATGTTCAGTGTATGAGTGATCACTTTGGTTTTATAGGCACGTATGTCACATGTATAAGTTTCTATGTCATGTCAGGTCGTCAAATATTTAGTATTCCATTATATTTTAATTTTATTATCTCATGACGACCTTTCTAGGTCATTTACCCATGATATTATGATATGATAGATACGTTACATTGGTACTCGGTTGAGTAAGGTAACGGGTGCCCGTCGTGGCCCATCGGTTTGGGTCGTGACAGAAGTGGTATCAGAGCAGTTTTGTCCTAGAGAGTCTACAAGCCGTGTCTAGTAGAGTCTTGTTTATGGGTGTGTTGTGCACCACACTTATAAGCAGGAGGCTACAGGGCATTTAGGACTGTCACTCTTTTTTCTTATTCTAGATCGTGTGATAGAGCTCAGTTGTAAGAATTCAAACTCCTATATTTTGTTTTATTCATAATACAATGATACCTACATCCAGAAAAATAGTTGGTAAGAGATTGAATTTTGATGCGAAAGAGTTGAGTCAGAGGAACTCGATTTTGCATTATGCTTATGATGACTAAATGTGAGGTCTTCAGCAGATCATATGTGTACTAAGATGTATAAGCTTCTTGATAAGGAGCCCTAAGGCAAGAATATCTATCTACTCATATGGTAAAAAGGAATAAGTGAATCGGAAAGTCAACACAAGTTTTAGCAAGTAAAACAAGCAAGATGACGAAGTGTACGAGGTACCTAGTTAATGAAGATTATCAGTATTTACAATTCAGGCAGAGAAATGTAAGTATTGGTGTTACCTTCAATATTAATGGTGATATATACAATTGACCACACCCATCTCAGTTGTGCCCTATGGGAGCTAACAAATATAGTTTAAAAGAAGAAGGCGATATCAAGATTCAATTCGGGTTAGAGTAACCCAAAATTATGGATTGATTGTTATCATTAACTAATGTATCTGAAGGATAGTGCAAATGTGGTAATAGATCTCCTTGTGAGATACCTAGATGGTGAACTTTAGAATAGTACAATCAGATATGAATACTATATTATTCAGAAATTTCAGAAGATACGCGGTGGGATCCTAGAAGGGACAACTATTAATTTTAGTATGACTCTAGCCCCGAGTAAAAAAAAGAGAATGTTAGGCATTCCGAAGAGCCAGTGAGATGAAGAAAGGGGGGCTAAAAGGGAAAGAACATTTTGTGAGAGTTTTCAGAATAAAGTGATAGATAAAGATATTATCCGGAGAATAAGAAGAGAGTAAATGAAGCATCATGAGTAAGATAAGATAAATGGATGATAACGGTAAATCAAAATATGACACGATGACAGAGTCCATAGTCAAGTAAAGGAAAATACAAGAGGTGACAGACCTTGAGGAAATAAAAGAGTATAAGCCATAAAGTCATATCCTTATTTCGAGAAATAAGTTGGTGACTTCAACGTGATTACCAGGAGGAAATGTTAGACCCCAGAGTAGTAGAAATCAGTATGGACCGGTGAACAAGATAAACTGAATATGAATTAGGGATTGAAGGATTTTATAATAGTTGGTATCATGGGAATTTCAGAGATAACATTCCGACAATAATAGAATGGACAACAAAAGAATAACC